TGTAGTTCAGTTTACTTTTATACAGGGTAGAAATGTGGAACTTCTACTTTTGTCTTGTTCAGAATTTTTTTGTGTGCACTTAAACTTTTATCAACGTAATTTTTTTAATTACTACAAGTTATTTATCAATTTTTTATATTTTATTGTTTTTTCTTAAGGGCACTAGTTTGCCCGCAAAAAAATTAAATCGTTTTGGCTTAATCAAAACTTTCCAGGCCGTTGGATTGCTAGAGGTCAAGAAGCTCCTATAAACTCGCCTCCTACATCTCCCGATTTAAACACGCTTGATTTTTACTTCTGGGACCATTTAAAAAGTATGGTATATTCACCAGAAGTGAATACAATCGAAGAACTTTAGGAAAGAACTTCAGTGCAAACTTTACGGTCTGAAAATTTTAATTTCATTAAAAGACTGCTGCTAAGTTAACATTAGAATGGTTAATTAAATTTAATTTTGTTTGTTTATATCGTTGCGCATATTGTTATCATGTTTTTATTTAAGTAAAATTTATTCAAACTATAGTGTATATTATTTTGATTAATTTTTTTAAAATTCTTTCAACATTAGAAATCTTAAGCTGATTTTTGGTAGACATTTTAAATCGGAAATAATTTATTTCATCGATATCTTAAATAACTCGGTAAAAATATAATAATATCTTTCTCATTTTCTCTCTTTCTCTTTCTATAATAACGCCTCAAATCAGCTGAAATCTGGCAACAATGTATTGGCCCCAAGGGGGCTACAATTAGCCGCTCCTACCACAACCACTGGGGCCAAAGAGGATTGGTTGTGTCAAATGTCAACTGTCAAACAATCAATCGGCAAGCAAACGGCACTGGTGGTGACCCGGCGGGGTCATCGTATGCGACCAGAACAGTTTTGTTTCGAACGTGAGCGCTTAATAAACGTTTAGAGGGCAATTGCGGGCCAGGGACGTGCCGACGCAAAATAAATTCAATTAAAATACGCACACACCATAAATCTCGGCTTTGTTGCCGGGGCATCAGGAGGAAATAAGTCAAAAGGCCGCACCACGGTCCAGACCCGACATCCACTAACCAGGCGTTAAAAACTCATTCGTCACTGGCGGCCATAATTTCTCATTAACAAGGTCTGCGTACCCCGCGTTTTCATATCCGATTCATCGGCATGACGTTTCGCCCGTTCAAAATAACCAAATAGATGCCACGTGCGATTTTTAATTTGAATATATGGCGACGTTTCGGACGCGCCCGATTTCCTCTTTTATCGACCGAAACCCATATTTTGTCTTGCCGATAAGGCTCAGAATGGAACCTAACCTATGGACTTATGCAGGTGGTGGCAGTGACAGGTGACATTGGAAAAGTCCCCATCAGTCAATAAAGCCATCAGCGCCATTATTGGTGGGGCACCGAAGGTCAAACATTTCCCTTCACAAATCGTGATTGAAAAAAAACGCCGATACGGCCGCATCTCATAAATACCGATTTCGGGCGACTTGACTTTTATGCCGCTTGACGTAAATAAATCGTTTTTGCCGGTTTTCGGACGCGGTCCCTCTTTTACAGGTTATTAATATTGATCAGTCGCAAGTGGTACGTGACGACATTTTTAGCTTCGAATATTCGAACCACCTCAGTACCCGATTCGGCTTCAGTGGTACCGTTAAGAAATTAACACATGTACATTAGGACGAACAGGTGTCACTTCCTGTTTTATGCACTAATTGCGCAGTTGCAACCTGTCGGTTTACAAAGGGGTATGTTGATGGAGAACCCCGACCGAAAACTGCCATCTATCGAGTAAATTAGATTTCCATTCAAAGACCGGATCTAGGCAGATATTTGATGATAAACAAATCGGCGTACTTGTGCTATTCAAAACTTGATCTGTACAGGGTACAATTACTAAACCCGCAGATATTTGTAAAGAGCGAGAAGGAAAATCAGAAATTTTAATATTCTTCCATATTTCGAGACGTTATTAATACGTTAACAAATTTCAGTATCGCTCGGTGGTCAGTTAATATAAAAAAACGACAATTATTGAGTCTCTTTTGCAGTGTTGCTAGATGAGCGCATTGGGCCACAACTTGACAAGTTCTGACATCGAGTGTCAGATTGTAAACGTCAATAAACTTAGGCAAACCTCAAGTTTGACGTTGGTTTTGTAGAAAATTACGGAACAATCGTTTATTAAAATCGCGCCTGTTCCGGTTTTGTGGGGCGGTAAAGTGCGACACTGGTCGATTGACACTCATTAGCGGCGCGTCTGGTCGAATGGGCGCGGACGGGCCCCGCAAAATGTGCCTTTATGGGCTTTTTGCGGCCGGCCGCCCTGTCATTAGCCATTGCCGCGGTCGGCCCACGGGAACTTTGTCATTCGGGGGCCCCGGGCCTTCATAAACGCCGGCCGGTTGTGCGATATGCGGCCGTAACTTAACCGCAATGCTTTTACAAAGTTAACAACTTGTTGCGCCGCGACTATTTGCCACGTTTATGGGACGCATAGAGCGGCCGAAAAATTGACAAATGACAATGGAATAAATTGGCACTAAACGTGGCTATTGAAAGAACGAATCCCATCAGACTGGAGAAAATTGTTCTTTGGAAGCCTTTGGCTTCCAAAGACTTATTTTTATTTACGAGCATTCGAGGCCGAAAGGTTCCTGCGGTCTCGCCTGCAGTCGTAAACAGGCAGCGACCAGTACCAGCTACGCATCTCTCGGCAGGACCCGAACAACTTATGGTTATTGACGATGGTTCCAAGACGGCATCAATCATCCAAGGTACCTCATTACAGCCAGTGGTTTGTTAATATAACACTAAAACGTTATACATTTTATTTCTGCCTGCCCGGCTGCGGTTGGCGACTTAAATCGTTCTATTAGCGCGCACATTTTCGAAAACCGTTCGCAAATTACAGCGCATCGTCGTTAGCGTTTGTGCCTCATTTCGCAATCGAGCCATTCTAGACGGTTCTTGTTCACAAAATTGCCTTCAGCTATTTATCTCTGTTTAGTATCAGCAAACTGCTATCGCTTTCCTTATCTTTCCCCGGACCCATTTAAGGATGTTACGTTACCCCCTAGATGAATGATGATGATACTGGGAGGATGTCGGATTACGCAACGTAAAATGTTGGTCATCCGATTGGGTCAATCAACAACGCGCCCATTGTCGATTTGCGCCATCGGTCACGAACAATTTGGAGAAATAATTACACGCCAATTACCAGGCAATTTGTGGCGCATCGAAGAAGAGTAATCACAGTATCGCACCTCAATTTGCCGGTGTTGCCGCATCAGTAGTAACACTTTCTTGTGCCAATCCCTAAACACTCAA